TGTGTGTGTGTGTGTGTGTGTGTGTGTGTGTGTGTGTGTAGGCAGAGAAAGGGAGAGAGAGAATGAGACAAAGAGGGAGAGACAGAAAAATAGGAAGTCAGGGAAAGGAGAGAAAGAAAATGATTTATTTGAAGAAATCATAGGAGCTAACAAGGTCAAAATCTTCAAGGCAGGCTGGCAGGCTAGAAATTAGGGTTAATATTACAAGACCCACATTTTAGCTAACATGGTTGTTGTGAATTAATTTCTCTGGATACTTCTTCCCTGGGGAAGAGTTGATCCTTCAGTTCCAACCTGAAGGCAGTGTACCTATGTCCTTGGGTTCCACAGTCTTTCTCTCTTAAGGCCTTCAATGAATTGGATGAGGCTCACATGTGTTATGGAGGGTAATCTGCTTTACTCAGAGTCTGTAGATATAAATCTTAATTATATTTTGAAACATACCTTCGTGGAAACATCCATACCGATATTTGATGGATCACCTGGGCACTATAGCCAAGCCAAATTAACCCACAAATACCATCATAATATGTGGTGAGAACCTTCTCCCCACAGTGTTCTTCAAGAATTTTGACTACTCTGTACCTTTAAAATTTTCAAAAGCAGTTTAGAATAAGATTGCCAAAGTGTTTAAAGAAAACACTTAACATGATATTGAAAGCTATTATCCTGAATCTGTAGCACAATTTGGATTTTTAAAAAAATTGGTTGTAGGATGTAAGAGTCCAAGAGGAGTCCAGTATGACTTCTAGGTGTTTTGCCTGAGCAACAGAAAGGATGGATAAGGGCAGATTTAGATGAGATTAAAGTTTGGTTCTGAAAATACTGAGTTTCAATTGGACATAAAAATTTAGTGATTGTCAGCAAATAATGGAGTTCAAACCATTGGGATCTTGCAGGATTTAATTGAGAAAGAAAAAAATTGTAGGATTAACCCTACAGTGTTCAGTGTTTAGAGATCTACAAGATAAAGGGTACAGCAAGAACAATAACAACACATGCAAGACTGGCTGGAGGCACAGACCTATAATCCCAGAGACTCAGGAGGCTGAGGCAGGAGGATCATAAAATCAAAGCTAGCCTCAACAACTTAACAAGACCCTGTCTCAAAATCAAAAGGGCTGGGGCTGGGCTCAGTGGTAGAGCACCCCTGGCTTCAATCTCCAGTACTGAGAAGGAAGGAAAAAAGGGAGGAAGGGAGGATATGTCACTAATGAGGAAAAACAAGAGTGTAGTGTCCTAAAAAGCTATGTTTAGAAAACGTTTCAAAGCAGAGAAGAGATCACGGTGATTAGATTTAGTGCTTTGGAAGTCACTGGATATTTTGGTGGCACAGTGGGGATTGTATCATCTGAATAGGATGGATTCAAGAGAGAGAAGAATAAAGAGCACTATAACTACATTTTCAAGGAATTTTGTTCTGGAAAGTCCCAATGAAGTGCTGAGGAAGACAACAGTGTCCTGGGAGAATGATTTTTGTAGATGAGAAAAACTAGAGCATGTTGTAAAAGCTGATATTCAAGAGGGGGTGAAGAACTGGCAAAGCGTGTTTCTGAATAGTCTTCTAGTGCTTATTGTTTACCCTCTTTATTTAATTCTCATTAAAAAGAGAATTTATATAACAATAGTTTTCTCTGTACTTTATTCCATAAGGTTCTTCTGCCAATTCCTCATCATCAGGGACTGAGATTGAGCTTTAAGCTTGGTAGTTGGTGATAGGAGTTGGTAGTTAATTGACCAACATCATAATATTAATGGGTATGGAATGCTTAATCATGGTTCCCAGGGTTTTGAAAAGCTGATATTTGGAGAGATCCTGCCTTACTCTCAAAAAACCAAGGGATGGCTTTCCAACAATAGGGTTTGAAAAACCTGTAGCGGGTGATTGGGAAAAATGGGACATGGATTCTTCCATTTTTAACCACACATTCTGCCTAAAGTAGCATCCTTCCTGTCATTATGCAACTTATGTAAAGCCCCCATGATAAAGCTGTTTTTTTATCCATGACCATAAACATGCAAACATACAAACCATCAGCACTTCAGTGAGAGGTTTGCCAAGCCTGTTTGCACATTAAGAAAGCAATGTCCATGCCCCTGTTTCTTGTAATGATTTCTTTCTTAAACCAAGTTCTCCCCTTCTCGCCACCCCCATACTTTCTTAAAGACAGAGCTTTCTTGGTGTCTTACATCTGGAGAGGAAGGCTCCTTTTGCCTCATCCCTAACAGGAGAGATTATAACATTAAAAAGACTCTCTTCACTCTCCTCTAAAATCATCTTCTTATAGGATGCCCAGAATTTGGGGATGGATGCATACAAGCTACAAATGATCTAAGCAGGACAAAGATCTAGTCACTTCCCTTTGAGACCCTTTCCTTTCTCATCCATATCCCTTCCGTAAGACAAGAGTCATTTTTAAACAGCCCTCTTTGCAACTTATTAAGGAAGGAAGCAAAAGAGATTATAAAGACACAGAGATCAACTTTATTGATAAAGGGAAAGGTGTATGATTTTTTTGAAAATCTACACATTTTAAAATTTCTGTTCTAAATATGGAATAACTTCCTGTAGCAATTATTAGGTATAGAATAATGAGTCATTAACTGTGAAGCTGCCTCAGACATTGTCCCTTCCCAGGCTTATTTAATAAACATTTCTTGAGCACCTACTTTTATGAATTTATGGACAAGTGAATAAATATTTGCCTTCCCTTTTCCACTGCAATTGCCTCAGTGGAAATTTTACTAGCTGCTCCTGTGAACAACTAATAATTCAATTCAATTTTCTTCTTCTAATCCATGGTGTTTACACTGTTTTGTTGGTACACCCTTCAAAAGAATTTTGGAAAAACTTATTACCCCTTCACATATTTTTAAATTGACATCTAAACATTTTCATCCTAAGTTTGCATAGTTGTGAAACATGTAATATCTAACGCCTTATAAAATTGACATAAAAATTGTTACATCACTTTGAAAAATATCTAATGGAATCTAAGTTCCTGAATGATTTCATATGTTAAATTACAAAAATTAACAGCTTTATTGAAATGCAATTTCTGTTCTTATTTAAAGTATCCAGGTCCACAGGGTTTGGTGTGTCCAAAACTGTACAGCATCGATCACAAACTAATTTAGAACATATTTATCATCCCTAAAAGAAACCTTATCCCCATTATGTAGTATCTCCCTCTCTCCCTCAGCCAACTCTAGGAAACCATTAACTCATAGGCTCTCTAAAGTACTTTTTTTGGTATATTTTAGCACATTAGGGCTCAATGACAAAAGAAGTACATATAAACATAAGACACAAAATGTAAAAATGATGATTTTATGAGTAAAAAAATTAGTGAGCTATTTGGGTAATGTGGAAAACAATATCGTTTTCTATTGGTGTATGTCATGTTATGTTAAAGATGCTTTTGCCAAAATTCAGCGAATTATTTCTCATATACCTTTTTTTTTGTCTCAAGTGATAGAAAGTGTCAGGAATTTACTTTGTTATATCAGAGTCCCATATAGTCGTGATGTGCAGCAATTAAATTAGAATCAAGCCATACACTATATTTTATCAATTACAATAAATGCATGTGATATTCTAAAAACTGAGCTGGAACTAGAGAGCAGACAGCTGCACATCAGCTTTATGATAAACCTATTGCTTTTGAGCAGAATCTCTCTGGCTACATGTCTATGTCATAAGAATAAGTTAAATAAGAAAAGTGGTCAGGGATTCTCTTGGCAGCTTGGATAATTTTGATTAGGAAAATTTCTTGGGAAATGGGTGGCCTTGTGACTCACTGAAAAAATGAAAAAGGGATACAGTCTTCTGGAAACTGTAAGCACTACAAGCATCCATTCATACTTGACTCATGAAAACATGTCCTAATTAAGGAAACATGCTAATTAAAGCCTTCTAGGTGCAATGCTCTGCGCTGAGTCCAGAGAGGCCTGCTAGGAGATATGTAGATGTGATGCTCAGAGCTTGTTCCAAGGAATTTAGCTTTAAAGCTATGGAGTAGGAATTTGAACCTATGATGTAGTAGACATTTAGCAAATTCTATTTTGGATCTCCTTATTCTGAGGGAATTTTCTTGTTCATTTTTCGTAAGCAATCACTTCTTCAGAGCATTGAATTCTAATTCAAGTGATTCAAGCATATGTTTTTTATTTTTTATTTCCACTCAGGTTTGAGAACAGATTCTAGCCACTTTATCTATGGCTCAAGCATCATCAGGAAAACATTCACAATCTACAATTTAGAATATTGGCTACTGTTATTCCGTATTGACTGAATCCTAATTTGCACCACCTACTAAAGCATCTGTGCATTGGGAGGTAAGAAAAAGGTATCTGGATGATTATGATTGAGAAATGCAATGTTCAATTTGGGTAAGGCTCTGATGAGAAGCATGATTTGATCCAGAGCAGAGACTCTGCTACAGCCTCCAGCTTGTATCACTACTGGTGCATTTTGTGAACCATGACTTCTTACCCAAGCAAGGCCTAGAAATAGGTAGGTGACATAGCAACAGAGAGTCCGTAAGTAATTCAGCAAAGTCATGGAATAGGGAAGGGGTCTTGCATCTATGGGAATCCTGCAAACTGTAAGGATGCAGCAGGAAAAAAAGGAGACAACTGTGATAACTAGGCTCAGCAATCAAGAAAGGAGAACTTTATAATTTTATCAATATATCTTTATATTAGGCAGCCCTCTGCAAGTGAAAGAGACAGAAAACCTTATTCAATATTGTTTAGAAAAGGGAGAAATTTCTGGCTTATGTATTGACAAGTTTCAGCAATACTTTCTTTCCCTCCCTCCCTCCCTCCCTTTTATTCTTTCTTTCCTTCCTACCTATAGTTTAGTTTATAGTCTGAAAGTTCAAATAGCTTGGCGCTGGCTCAGGCAAGAGCCTCCCTTAACTGTGTGACCTCATGGCAGATGTCGATGGTAGGAGTATGGTGGGAGAAAGAAATCATCGCCAAATAGGAAGCCAGAGGGAAACTCAGGATCGCAAAGTTCTTTGATATCCTAGATTGAGAGACTCAAGTGGTGTCACCAGGGTTTTGTCTCCCCCCTGCCTGTCTTGGCTTGTCTGGATTAACTACTTCTTAAGGCAGCCTCTCCGTTTCCTCCAACCATAAAGGAAACTGTCCTCAGCTTTGTGCTCATTAGCATGGATTCAACCTTTTCATCCCTAAAGCAACTGGATCCTTGTGACCAGGACAGTGGTGGAGACCCCAGGGAATAAGGGGAGTGGCTGACCCTTGAAAATCAAGAATCTGAGGTGAATGAGCATCACATGGAAGGGGATGTGCACGACATGAGCACTTCTTCTGAGTTCTTGCACATAATCCTCAGGATAACCCAATAAAATGAATTCGTTATTTTTACTTTACATAAATGATCACTGTGGTGAGCCGTTCCTGCGGACTGTGGTCGCCATTACATGATGGCGCTGGCTCCGTTGTGGTCTGTGAAGGACAACTCCATATCAAAGAGAGTTGGCGTGTTCCCAGCTCCTTATCAGAGAAAGTTGGCGTGTCATTTTCTAGCACCCTGTGAGAAGGGTACACGTGGCAGCTTTGCATTGGGGTTCCCGGTGCTTTATTAAGGCTGGGAGGGGCATCCGAGAGAGAGTAGAAGAATTATTAGAAGAATATCAAGGGCCTGAATAAACTGCTGAAAGAAGATTCCTGAGTCGCGTCTTCCTTGCCGGCAAGGGGGGTCGCGACAGATCACTTCATCATTAAGTGCTAGGTGTCAGAGTTTACCATATGACAAATTTCGATGTTCTTGGATTATTGCCCAACGTGATTGAATGGTAAAGAATAATATTCACTATAAACCCAATACCATTCTAAGCCTTCTGCATATCATGTCATTAAATGCACTAAAGAAACTAGATATGTGACACTATTTGCCCCACGTTCTAGAGGAGGAAGTTGATGCAAAGAGAGGTTGTGTATCTCATCTGATGTTGCAATTTTAGCAAGTGGGGGAACCAGAGTTTTAATGCAGGCAGCCTGTGTCACAGGCCATGTTGTACAATGCTGCTTCTCAATGAGACCTGAAAGGCCACAAAGGAGGACGGACGACTCTGCCAAAAGCTCAATGGGCAGCAGGCCGGAGAGATGTTTCCAAGTGGAGGGGTCAGAAATTTAGCCACAAGTGGTAAGACAGTCTCTGGAGAGAAAAGAAGAGAGATCCTTGTGGACATGATATGAAAACCACCTGGAAAGCCAGAGGGAATAACTAGTAGAGAACAAAGTTTCTGATGTTTGCAAAGAGGAGAATAAACCATGGCATGAGCACAGGAAGTCAAATGGGGACTAAGCTGGTCTCCTTCAACAGGTGAGAGGGCATCTCATTACCATAGTCACCGACAGGATATATCCAACATCTTGTATCAGTAAGCTGGGACATTGCAATATTTAATGTCTATAAGTTTAAATTCCGTATGAACATAATATTCATTTCAGCACTGGAGTTTGCATACCTAAGTATCACTTGGTATAAAACGGGCATTTACATCTTTGCTATAATTATGATAATATGCCATCTTCCTTTAAACTGTGTACTTACTGCACTGAACCTGTCATGAAAATAGTTCACACTAAGTTTGGAAGCTAACTGAATCAATGGAAGAAGTTCCTAAGCCTTTCTAGGGTAAAGGATAGTAAAAATCTCAGATGACCAAACTATTGACAATAATCAGAGGATATAAAGCTACAAAACACAGATGGTGTCCTTCAAAATACCAAGGAAGACTGTCTTCCACCAGAAATTGTATTGTAAATGGGATACAAAATTTCACTTCCTAAAAAAAAGAAAATTTATGTCACTAGTGATTATATAGGAGGTCAGCAGAAAGAATCATTTTCCCTCAGTTGTTGGAATGGTTGAAAACAATTTATATATATTTTAATCCTTCCCTTCACATTTAATAATTGAGTATGCACACATCAGCATGCATATAAGTGCCCATGTGAACACACACAATACTTAAACTTAATTAAATTACCAAGAAATATTTTGCATATATTGCAGAAACACATACCTTTCTGAATTCAATTTAATTCCGAGGTATATTCATAGATTTTAAGATAATTGTCTTAAATAACATCACTGGTATCATCAATATCAATTGAGATGCTACAGAACACACCTGAGGTGTACATTAAGGTTTGAGGAGACAAATAGCACCTGTGAGTCTCATCCCCAATTACTAAAACAGGTCAGGGTGACAATTTGGCCTGACTACAGCTCTGTCTGTATAAAATACTTTTCTTTTTGAACAATAAGGAATCTACTAGCATGGGAACTCCTTTCGCCTTTTTAGTTTATTTTTAAAGTCATTTATTAATTTCCTCTCTGTAGAAGTAATTCCCGAGTTTGCCTTTTCTTCTTTTCTTTTTTTAAAAAAGAGGGGAAGGGGTAGCTTCTCAGGCAGTTTCCTTAGTCATTCTAGGCAGCCAGCCAATGAAATATAGACTAAACAGCGCCCAGAATATTAATTTTGCCTCAGCATACGTGCACATAGCTAGTGATGCATGAAGTTCTCATTCCAGAACTGATACTAAGAATGTTGTGCAATTGTCTAGATTCCAACGTCACCAACAGTTTTCCGAGGGAGTTGGAAGGAGATAAGAGGACAGACCTTGGGGAACAATTTAAAAATGGTCAAACGGTAGTGGCAGAGCCAAACTCATACCTACATCAGCTCACTGCAGAGAATTACTCTTTAAGCAAATTTAACGCTGGATTTGAGAAGAGAAACTTTAAGGACAAACCTAAAAAAAATCCATATTTCACAGATACATTTGCTGCTTCTTTGCAATAGAAGAGGCTGGGTAAAAAAAGGATTAGAAAAACAATCAGGATCTCAGGGTGCAGGGCAGTGGTGGATTGTGTTCTTAGTGTGAGTTCTATCCTCCAAAACAAAACAACAAAAAAACCCCACAATTTTTCATTGACATATACACTGAAAAATTCACAAATCAAAAGAGCTAAATACATGTTCATAATGTGAATATATCCAGGAAACAGCTCCAGAAACAGAACCCTGCCTCTATCCCAGAAAGCTCACCCATACTCCACTTTGGTCATTCCCCACCCTCAGAGTAACTTGTGTCTTGACCTTAAATGTCATTAGGTTGAATTAGCTTTGTTCACGAACGTTGAATAAATGAATAATGCAGAATATATTCTCTTCTGGTTCATTTTTTCTTGATTCTATATTTTATTTGTCCTCTTACTGTGGTAGTCTTTCACTCATTCTCACAGTTGTATAGGATTCTCAGTGTGTGAATAGACTCCCCAAATTATCCATTCTACTAAGTGTGCTTGGATGTGAAATATTGTACAATTTATATCTCACCAAGTGTGATTAATTAATATTTTGTTCAGGACTTTTGTATCTAGATTTATGAGAAAGATTAGTCTATGATATTTCTTTAGTTATATTTTGATATAAAGATTATTCTGACTTTATAAAATCTTTAGGAAGTGTTCCATTTCCACTCTGGGAGGTTGAGTATAAAATTCATTTATTTTTTCCTTAAATTTGGGGAAGAATTAACCAGGAAATTAACCAGGAAAGATATCTGTTCTTCATTTCTTTTATGAACATTTTCAGTGGCAGAATGAATAATTTTAATATACATGGCAGTCTCAGAAATATATGCCTTTTGGGGAGTTGTAAATTTAATCCAAATTATTAAGCTCATTAGCATGAAATTGTTAGTAGCGGTCCTTCATTCCAAATAGTGATGTGTCCTTTTTCTTCCCTTGTGTTGATGTTTTGTGTGTTATCGTTTTTTCTAACTCATTTGCACTAAGGATTTACAAATTTTATAAATCTTTTCAGTGAAAGGCTTTCCTGGTTTTCTCTACTTTACCTTGGCTTTTATTGCATTAATTCCCATTTTTATTTCTGCATTTCTTTAATTTATCTAGTATTTTTTTCTTTCTGATTTCTTGGGGAAGAAGTTTATTGATCATTAAATTTTAGTGCTTACTCTACTATTATATATTTATTATATTATATAATACATGGTATGTATTTCCCTGTGGGTATTGTTTTATAAGCATACCATGCCTGTTTTATAATTTTACTTATTTATGATTTAATTATGATATTTTAAAATTTACATGGTTATTTTTTTTTGACAGAAGAAGTTTTAGAAATGTTTTGTTTCCAGGAAATTAGAGATGTTTTACTGGTTTATTTTAATTTATTTCTAGATTGAATTTTGGTGGTTAAATAATATACTCCAAATTATTTTAATTTGGTGATGTTTGTTGAGACTTTCTTTATGATCTAACATAAGGTCCA